GAAGAAGCAGACGCCATGAACCGAATGCGATTGCGAACCGACAGCAAATGGACTTTCAAGAATTGCATTAATTCACAATTTTCCACACAGCCCCACTTCAAATGATGGTGTGAATGTGTGAAAATGTGTGGGCTTTTATATGCGATGAAGTGATTCTAAGGCGGCTCCCACCAGAAGACATCAAAGCAGGACATCATTCTTACAAGGTTTATGGTATCCCATAATAACAAAATATTGTATTTTAAAGTGCACTGAAATTGTCTATTAATTTAGTGGATGAAAGGAAATTTCATTAAAACCCAGCAGCTTCGTTGTAGCCACATTTAACTAAAATATTTATGATTTTTATGAACTATATCCAAAATAGGGTATAGGTTTGACTTCTATATGCATAGATAGATAGATAGATAGATATGTTTGTGACATTGATGTGTGATTATGATGGCGTTGAATATGTGGCCCGAGGGACGAAAGTTGGGTCAGATTGAACCAAAGGGTCGCAGAGCCAACAACTGACAGCTGGCCAATCAGATTGCAGCGTAGTATTTTGGAGGACTCGAGCCTCGAATTGCTGCATGTCTCGAAATGTACCATTATCCTTCATGCCCGGGCAGCCATTTTGTCTTCTTTGTCGCCGATTCAGGCGGGCCGTTGGTCGGTCGAGTCGACCAAATTGGCATGCTGCGCTACACCGTTGCGCATGTCCTCCAACCGGACTGACTGGACTCGCGGCAGAACGAGTGCACAGAAAAAGACGATGACGACGACGACAACGTCGACGACAACGTCGAAGACGACGACGACGGATGCGATCACGAGAGACTGTGTTGCGACCGGTTGTGCAGTCGACGATAGACGTTGTCTGATTGGCCAGTCGACGAGTCCACCAATCACCATCAGCCTGGCTGCCCCGACGACTGAGTTGACCGGTTTCCGACTGGACGACTCGATTGTCGACGTAGACACAGTCGCACACTCGACCCGAGCACTGCACATCGCTCATCTCTCGCATCGTCCTGTCGCCGCCGCCTCACCCGCACAGTTGCCGGGCCAACGGAGGCTTGGAGAACGCGCCCGTCTCGTCATGCTGGGCCGGTCGCAAAGCGTCGCCATTCGACGCGACGTCGACGTCGACGTCGACGTTGACGTTGGCGTCGACGTTGGCGTCAAAAGTGGGCAAAAGCAGCATCAACAAGAGGCGGATGCGGCGCCGAAAGTGGTTGGAGCCGAGGACCGCGTCGACTCGGCCGAGCTGTCGCCGTCGGGCAAGACTGGTGGGTCGAGTCCCGCCGCGGGTTCGAGTCCCGGTCCGAGTCGTCCGTGGAACCTGGCGCTGGGCGACCCGCAGCGCGACCGACAGTTGCCGTCGCCGGTGGGCGTCGGCTGGTCGGCGCGTCTGCTCGGGCTGGCCGACGTCGACGAGGCCGGTTGCGGCGAGTCGAGGCAGCTGTTCGGCGATCTGGTCGACGCCTATCGGCAGATCCTCGTCGGCCTCGGCGAGAACACGCAGCGGCAGG